TGTAGTCCTCATCTGGAGATAATTCTGCTATTGCTCTATAGAAAGCTGTTCATCTTCTTCATCTTCAGAATCAAGAGAACTTAGCATTTCTGCCATTATCTTCTTGTATTCAGATTTTGATTTGGCCTGAGCTAGTCTAGTACTGGCATTGGATTTGGCTTGCAAAAATTTGACATTTTCTTGAGAGCTTTTCATGCTTTTGCAGAGTGTTGGATTTTTCTCGAACCATGTCATTAAATATTGAGGATTGCATTTCCTTTCATCGAATTTGTACCACCACTTGGTTCTGAAAACTCTGATGACCATAGGGGCTCCAGTATGGACGTCAGTATCATATGCATAATCTCAAGATGTTATCCATGAGATTGTTAATTTTGAGAAAAATGAATTAAAGTATGCAAATTTGCCTGATCTTCTTCAGGTTGAAAACATTTTGAAAATTTTTCATATAATTCTTCAATCTTAGGTGGAAGTTTTTCTCTTAAGGAACTAAACCAATTCTACCATTGAGAAAACCAGTTTGAAAATTTCTATTTGTTTTCATATTTGAAAAACATCAACCAAGAATGTTGGTTGCGTTTATTGTTATAAAGAAAAGTGTTGAACCATACCTACTGGTAATCCCAGTAGTTAAAAACGGGACAATGGTTAAGTGATTTTGAAAAATTTGTTGGAAATCTTTCGCAAAGGTTGAGATTTTCTCCCTAATCCATCGGCCTTAAAACTTTCAAAATTTGTATCGTTGAGTAGGTTATAAGAGTTGAATCTTTTGAATCAACATATTGTTTGAAAAGGGTCAATCCTGTTTGGACTAAAATATTTTGATAATAACTTTGAGATTTCTATAAATCCCATGGTTTGTAATGCCATCTTTGAAAGGCTTTCTGATGGCTATGTAGGAAAATTCTTGGTATAATCCTTCTTCTATGAAAAGAATATTTTGGGCATTTTTCTTTCTGAAATATTGTGTTTTGCTCCCTGAAGTAGATGATTGGGATTGTGTTTGGGTGAGTGTTTGATCAGGGAAGATATTTTGTAGGTCTTTTGGTTTGGGTTTATGAAGGACAATTTCTTTTCCCTGGGATTTTTGAAGAGTTGCTAAGGCAACCTGTTTCATTGGGGTGTCTTTTTCAGTATTGGAGGCTAAGGCTAGTGCTACCTTTGGAGAGTTTGATAGGGCTTCAATCCATTTTTGAACTTCTGGATCAATGTCTTTTGGGTCTTGAGCATTTTGGAGAAAGATATTTTGATCTTGGGTTGGACTTCTTTGATTTTGTTCTTCTTGGG